GTTTTTGTGTGTCAGGTACCTCCACATTTTTGTTTTAATAGTTCTGTTAAACCTCTCGACCACGCTAGCCTTCACATCGCTGGCTGTAACGAAATGTTCAATATTCTCACGTTTGAGAACATTTTGGAAGGTCCTGTTAAGAAATTTTTTATCCTCAGTTTGTAGCTTTTTAGGAGCACGCCCTTCTTGCAGTATATTTTGGAAGGCGCCTGTCACGGCCCCTCCAGTCTTGGTTTTCACCGGCACGACCCAAGCGTATTTAGACAGCAAGTCTATAAACTTTAAAATGGAACAGAAAGGGCTGTGGGTGAATGGAACAAGTTACCCTGACATGTTGTTACACCAGTTTCCTTTAAGACTGTGGTGGTGCTACTGGGTCAAGCTGCATGGTTAACGGCATATAGACCCCTGGCACAGACCAGTCGCTTTTAACTTTAAAATCTAAGCAGTTTTAAAATAAGGCTTTTTAACACTCCCAAACAGAAAACTACGTGAACTAGGATCTTTCAACGAATTAACATCCTAATAAAAGAAGTAACGTTTGCCGTAAGTGGATCATAACACATCTTTACCACGCTTAAATTATATTAATCTTTGATTGTTGATTTCAGACGTTTTCAGCCCACTGACCCAGTTAACGTGTTGGAACGCCGTCGCAGTTTATTTTTTGAAGGTTCGGGTTCAACATCTGCATGTGTCTCCACAAGGTTTTGCGGTGGTATTGTAAGGTTTTTTAAACGTGTAGCGACTTGTCCCTTCGCCCGAATCTGCTGAATAGACACATGAGTGTATTGGCGTAGAGAAAGTACCCCTGTGTCTTTAAGACTCACATGGTCGTAAAGCGTTATTCAAAACATTGTCGTAATTACTCACCAGTGTTGGGTTGCGCCGTAACTGGTCTTTTTACAGCTGTGGTTTTCGGGGCTAATGGAAATGAATGGATACACACAGTAATGACCACATTACAGAACAACTCCCTGGTAATTCCATTATAATAATTCAATATTGCCTAGTATACAAATATTATACAAAGTTGTGCAACTATAGCTAACATGAGACATGCACCGTGACGTTGTAATTTTCTCACAATAAGCCAGATATACATACCGCTGAAATTCGTGGAGTCCTCGTCTTCGTCTATCAAATCGAACAGTGTTAAGTCTGTAAATAGACTATCTTCAGACTGTTGTAATTGATCGGCGTGATCCATTCTGATGAGTTAGGTGATTAGGTGCGAGACTGTAAGGTTTGGAATCCAGCCAAAACATCGTCTGTTACACCGCTGGTACTTATACCGAAACCGATAAACATTCTCTTCTAAGAAACACACATGGCCCCCCCATAAAACCATTAATCTTAGGTATCATTGGGCATGCACGTACTGGTCTGTAGAAATTATTTTAAGAAACATATTAGAAAACGTTTTAGACCATTATAATGTTAAAATCTATATTATTTTAAGACATACAACGGTGTCTAAATTTCATAGCGGTTAAAACGTGGTGAAAATGTGCCTTGGTGTCTGTGTTTGATTCACCAACAGACCGCTAAGAATATTATCAAGCAAAATGCTTTTTATTAACGGTATAAGAAAATGTATCTATTCTTTATAGCGACGTGTTCACAAACCAAGCTTGACGTTTTGAGGTTTATTTTTTCGCGATGAGATGTTAAGAACATTTTTGCGTGAAATACATGTGGTGATTATAAATTAGAAAACTTTACATGAATATAAAATGTTTATAAACTTTCCTGAGGTCAATTTTGACCCCCCTCCACCTCTGCATTCCAGAGCCTTTAACTAACCCCCACCACCGCACGTCTCCAAAATATCTCAAATTATCTCTAATATGTGATTTTAAAACTTAAAGACCAATCCGTTCAAGTATAAAGAATAACACCCTTATCATTTGTTGCCTTTTAATACCTTAAAGACTTTTACGCTTGCGGTGTGTGGAAATTAATTTAAAACTTTCGAAAAAGCTGTTGCGAATGTGTTATTAAAAATAAACTATGTCTTATTACATTATTTTAAAAACTTTAAGACCAACCCCGCGTGTTTAAAATTTATTTTCTGGGCAAACACATCATTTGTGTTTGTGTTGTGTGTTAATACTTTTAAAGTTTAAAACTTATAAACTGATAAGTGAATACTTTTCGCTCTCGATAAATCAATGGTGGGGGGGGGGTCGTTCTAAAGCAACACAACCAATTGAAAAATGTATTTTGTTATGTACACCATTGGCACATATTCTTAAATGCTCTGGCCTGACAGGGTCACAGCGCATCCCTGGAGCTGTCAGACACCACCCGTTGTTGGGAGCTGCGAAGATGGCTTCTTTGTGTAGAGAAACATCGGGGTCCGCTACTCTACAAAGTGAAGAGGTAGGCGGCTTAAATATTTTTTCTGATCATGGAATTGTTGTATCGGCGCTTAGCGTATGTCATTTGAATACTTGGTCTTCATAAAACAGTATAAAACAGCATTAAACAGTTGCTGAAAAACATAATTGACGACCACTCCCCATATGAGCATGTACACATCATACTTGAACAGCTGGATGAAAAATTAGTAGATGTGACTTTTGATGCGTTGCAAAAGAAACACTATTCTTATTTTTACAGACGAAAAAAAAAAAACGATCTATGTAAAATGTGAATACAGCTTTCACTCTGTTTTACAGACCCGGGTGTGCCATCGTCCAAAGAATGAAGAATTTCGAATGCGTCTGAATTCTTACTAAGAGTGCTTTACACACTTCTCTCTACAAAGCTTGATATGCAAAACAAAGAGTCGAATGCTAATGTCCTTAAATTTGATAAAGAGATAGATGTGTAAGTCAAGAACTTGAGTGAAATTGCAGATCTGATGTTTTCAGATTAGATGGAAGCCTGGGGGGTTCTACAGTGTGTATTCCATAATACAGCGTGTTTTGCACAGAACCTGTGGTAACACCATCCCGCTGATTATGCAGGCAAATTTTTTTGCTCTGCTAGATCGGATCGCCCAGTGTGGTTCGCATGGCTTTAGACATGTGGAGGGGAAGGGGGTTATGAATGCTTTTTCAGATGCCTCAAAGCTTCTCAGCAATGTTTGGGCGGTGGTTACGCGTACCGAACAAATTTTCCGCACCAACATTTAATTGTTGAATGCAAACAGGAGCCGGTAACGTGTGTGTACTGCGATGTTTCAGTGTTTGAAACCGCCACTGTTGAAATAAAGCAGTTCACATTCCACATACTTGCAAACTGGAGTCTGTAACTTGTGTAAAAAGTGTGCTGCACTGTTTCAGTGTTTGAAAACCCACTGTTGAAATAAAGCAGTTCACATTTCATATGGTGTTTGTCCTGCGAGTTCTTTCCGTGAGACTTTACCCAGTCAGTGTGTGTGTGTGCTTACAACCCTGATGCTTTTGAGTCACGGCTTGTGGAGCATATAAGCAGCCTGGCAGGACAACCACTCGGCCACCCGGCCGCGGCTGGCGCCGCTCACACCCCGGGATCTCACGGCCCTCACCAGACTTCCTGCGCCGCCGTAACTACCCGATTCCCTAGGGTTATAATAGAGCTCATGTTTGAGCTGTCGCCATCAAAGTCTTTAACGAAGATATTACTAATAGTATTAATAATGAATGACCTTGGACAAGCTGTGAGTGTAAACTCAAAGTATTGCCCTGGTCCACATTCTTTTATTCATTGGCCGTCTTTGTAAAAGTAACACCACAGCATTTCGCAATCATGCATTTGTTTCCAATCATGCAAAGTACAGTAATTTTTGAGAATCGATTCACC